GGGCCGGTGCCCTACCCCTTTGAGCCACAGGCGCTGCCCTTATTTTATTTCTGGTAGCATAGATTGAATGATGAATCCTTTTTTACAGGCCAGTCAGCTCAGCAAGACTTTATAAAGTATATTTTAGCACTTTCTGACCATAAATAGAACATGAGGGAGGGGAGAGTTGGTGTTATTAATTTCAATCCAAGAACAGAATTGCCCCTGTTCTGTGTTCTTGGCTGCCATTTTATATCCTGGGCAAGACAGGCACATCTCTGCCTTGAACCTGGCAACATAGGGTTGGGCCAGGAATGCTAGTGAAAGGGCTTCAGTGAGCACATGGCCTCTAAGCAGGTTTGGGGGGGTGCTCCTGGCTAGGACTTTTGTCAGGACAAAAAGACATGAAAAGGGGTAGTGGAGGAGGGTGTTAGGCAAGAGAAGATCTTTTTTTTCTGTTTTCTGAGAGACACAGAGTTTCACTTTGTTGCCCACAGTAGAGTGCTTTGGCATCACAGCTCACAGCAATCTCCAGCTCTTGGGCTTAGGCGATTCTCTTGCCTCAGCCTTCTGAATAGCTGGGAGTACAGGCACCCACTACAAAGCCCAACTATTTTTGTTGTTGTTATTGCAGTTTGGCTGGGGCAGGATTCAAACCTGCCACCCTCAGTATATGGGGCCAGCACCCTACTCACTGAGCCACAGGCATACCCCAAGAGAACATCTTTGATTGGGCCTTGAAGGCAGAGGAAAGTAAGAAAGTGCTAGATGTTTATTTAGTTGAATATCTAAGCCAGTGGTTTTAAGCTTACTTTCCAAACCAAATCTTAGCTAGAAACTCAACTACAAAATGTTAGATAAAATTCTAATTGCAGCTAGGCGCCTGTGGCTCAAGCGGCTAAGGCGCCAGCCACATATACCTGAGCTGGCGGCTTCAAATCCAGCCCAGGCTTGCCAAAAACAATGACGGCTGCAACCAAAAAATAGCCAGGCGTTCTGGCTGGTAGTCCCAACAACTTGGGAGGCAGAGCCGGGGAGTTGGAGGTTGCTGTGAGCTGTGATGCTAAGGCGCTCTACCCTGGGCTCTGTCTCAAAAAAAAAAGAATTCTAATTGCAAAAGTGGCCTCTCAGTAGAGAGGGGCTTTGAAGAACATGGTTTGAAAAACCATGGCAATGATGATTATAATTTTATTCATCCCTTACTCTTTTATGAAGATAGTTAATGGGTAGGATGGCAGTTGCAGAATAAAAACTTACATGGCAAAGCTTATAGGTTAAGAGGAATGCTTCTGGAAACAGTTCAAATCCTGGGGAAGTCATTTATTTAATCTCTGTGAGCCTAAGGTTCCTCATTTGAAAATAGGGGTAATATTAGTACTCATTGGATTACTATGAATGTTAAATGAGGTGCTTAGTAGTGTCTGATATCTAGTAGGCACCCAGAAAACTATAGTAGTTGTTAGTAAAGGGTCATCCTCAGTTTTCATGAACTCTTAGTCCTATTCATTTATTTAGATAATTGAGGTAGGCTAGAATTTTTTTGGTAAATGATCATAAACATTCCATTTAGTATAGTAAGTTTTGGCTTCACTCTACTCAAAGAATAGTCTTTTTTTTTTTTTTAAATTAATAATACTCTTTGTAAATATGGGGAAAGGGGAGAGGGAAGGGAGGGGAGGGAGGAGGATAGGTAGAGGGAGGGTGATTGGTGGGATCATGCCTGTTGTTCATCCTATAAGGGTAACACAATAACTAAGAAAATGACATGAAGGCTGTGTTAAACCAGTTGGATGAAAGTATTTCAAATTGTATATAGAAACAGCACACTATACCCCATGATAGCATTAATGTACACAACTATGATTTAATAATAATAATACTCTTTGTAGGGCAGCACCTACAAAGAGTAGGCTCAGTGAGTAGGGCGCTAGCCCCATATACTGAGGATGGCAGGTTCCAACCCCCCGGCCAAACTGCAACAAAAAATAGCCAGGTGTTGTGGCCAGTGCCTGTAGTCACAGCTACTTGGGAGGCTGAGGCAAGTAACTCTTTT